TTACAGGAGGAGGAGATGTTCTCTTTACCAACAACACCTAATACAACCGTACCTTCACTTTTGTCGTCGACAATAACGACGACAACAACATCATCATCATCATCCACACCAAATTCTGTGGTATCCGCCGAGAAGACGCATGGAATAGCAATCGATGAGCCGTCGGTAAGTTTTCTTTCTTTTCCAATTTTCATATGTTTATTTATTTATCTAATCAGGTGGCTCATCAAGCCATTCTATTTATTCTCGATGTGCTCATACGTAACAATCAAGCTATGCCTATTGTGAAGCTTTATGATAGCTTCGCTGATCGAACATTTACACCTCAAATGTTACGTGCTGTCGGTGGTAATGAGCAAGGATTACAACAATTCTTGCTTCGATATCCATCATTATTTACAGTAAATAATGATACTGTATCAGCTAATAGTGCAACACCAGTACGTACAATAAATTCAACAAAATCTCATCATAATAAAAATAAATCTATGATATCATCCGCCTCGACTAACGAGGCGAATGAAAATATAAGTGGAACAGAAACAATGACAACATTATTAAATAATGAAACAGTATGGGATGCTAAAACAATGCGTGAAATAGAACAAGAAGCAATAAATTTTTTTAAAAAACAATTAACTAAAAGAGAAGAAGAATGGTTACCAATTGTTAGTGTTGCTGGACATGCATCACAAGCATCAGCTGATGTACGAAAATATGTTGGACCACAAAATGAATTTAAAGTATTTCTTTTACGTTATCCAAATATTTTTATTGTTCGTGATGAATTTTGTGGTCTGAAAGTAAGAATTACAAAAACTAAAACAAAAAAAAAAATGATTTATTTCTATAGGGTAAAGCAGATTTACCTGGTATACTATTTCCACCTCCATCACCACCACCAAAACGTCGTATTACATTATCAAATAATAATATGATGAATGGTAGTGGAAATAATTCAATGTTAACACGTTCAACATCATTTAAATCAGGTACACGACCAATAATTGGTAGTAATAATACAAATATAAATAATACATCAATGCCAAATACACCAACAAATAGTACAAATTCATCAATGTTACTATCATCATTATCAACAACAACAACAACAATACCAACAATAACACGTAATACAAATCAACGATTAACACCAAATGAAGTTAAAGCTGTACATTATGTAATGCGTTTATTACATAAAAATGGTCGTGTTTTACTCCAAACTGTACCAGGACTAATAGCTCGTGCGCCTGATCATTTAGCACAATTAATTGGTTTTACACGTGATGATCTTATAACATTTTTTAAACGACATAATGCTATATTTCAATTACATACAGATGGTACAGTTAGTGTTAAATCAGAAGCTGCACGAGCTTTATTAAATAAAAATGATAATATTCAAACATCATCATCAACACAATTATCTCAAACTCAACAACAACAACAACAACAACAACAACAACAACAAACATCTATAACAGCATCAGGTGTTGTTATACGTATTTTTCCTAAATATGGAATATTAAATATGGATAATAATGAACAAGTTTTTTTTGATATACAATCATGTCATTTTGAAACATTTAATGATCTTACATGCGTACTTAATCCCGGCGATTCAATGAATTTTAATGCTATACTTGGTCCAAAAGAAGGTAAATATTTCTAATAAAACTAAAAGAAATTTTTCTTTTTCAATTTAAAAAAATTAATATAATAATTCAAATTATTCAGATTTTTAAGAATATTATTTTATCTAATACAAATAAAATTTATTAGATATGAATTTGGATTTATATATGATCAATTTATATATTGTTAATCAGGTTAAAAAAATATAGAATGAGTGTACTTGTTGATTTCTCAATATGTAGATGTTACTTTGAAGTACACTACAATATAATAAAATTGTTTTTTTTATTTTTATTCTACTTTTCTCTTGATTACAGTAGTTCTATAATCTATGTTTTTATTAAAGTTTATTTTCTATTGATTCTCTTTTTTTTTGTTTTCAATAAAGGTTCAACAAAATGGAAATCATTAAAAACTTGGCCACGTCAAAATAATCGTCCTGCTCAATTAATAACACCAACTTCAACAAGTAATTCAAATTCTTCAATATCACATGTTGTTCATTCGGCAAGTACAAATAATTTATCATCAATTTCATCAAGTAATGGTGGTTATATATCACCTCCATCATTTGATCATTATTCAACAAATCATCATCATCAACAACAACAACAACAAAATTCTCAACCGTCTAACGGATATGCACCTATTGATCAAGATTTAAATGCTTATCAAATGTCTAATGATACAAATGGTGGACTTGATGAATCAATTGATAATAATACAAATGAAAATCAATCTCCACCAATGTCACTTATGAATTCGACTGGTTCAAATCGACATAGTCGTATTGGTTTACCAACTCTCGATGAAGAACAATGTCCATTACCTAAAATGGCTGGTGGTCTTGATGCTGAAGTTCTTCGACGTAATTTACAAAAAGTAGTACAACGTAAAAATGCAATATCATTACGTGAACAAGCCGATGAAACAGGTCGATATGTATCACAAGGTTGTCAAACAACATCAACAGGAGAAATTTTAGCCACAAATATACATATCGAATAATAACGTTTTTCTTTTATTTCTTTATTTCTTTCTTTGTAGTTAGCGCGTGTGTTTTTTGCATTTCAGTTCATCTCTTTCTTTTTTCTCGCCTTTTTTTTTATGATCTGGCAATCTGTCTCGTTTTTTTTTT